TTGTACATACAAAAAACTTTTTTTATGTATACATTAAAATCACTCCAAAAAATTTTACCTTGATATTAGCTCTTAAAGCAACGATCTGGGTCCTCTTTTTACCAAGCGGAGTTAGAGACCATAAATGATTGTTCATTTATTTTCTATTTGTTCGAGGCTATACAAATGATCACTTATTATGTCTGAAGAGTGGAACTTGAACAGCCGATTATAAGTGAGATTCAAATGGAAAAATAAATGAAAAACTATCTTCACAAGACGTGTAGTACGAATTTGCTTTTATTACGGTTCGATTTTGGTGATACGTCATCAATAACACGATATTTGTGAACCAAAAATTCTCTATACATTTCACTAGAGTTTAGGATGTAGTTTGAAAGGTATTGAATAAGAAAATTGACATTGCCCTCAGAGAGATCTAGAGTAGCGGTAGATACTCGGTGCCACGTCACCTGCACTTTTTGCCCCATTCAACTATCGCCTCTCGTTAAACTAACACGCTCTCGCGGCTTACATTTACAGTGCCGAGTAACACACAGCTCTATACTGAAAAGTTCGCACGTGACGTCACGATATAATTTTTAATTGTAAATATCTTGATATCTGATTGAAATTATGAGATAATTTTTAATATACAATCGATAATGACTGTTAGCTTTTATTTAAATCCAAAATCAGTTTCATTCATTAAGTATTTACCGAGATACAAAACAAGCTACGCCTCTAATTCTGTTTTTCGCACATTTCAATTCGATTTCTAGCCTTTTCTTCGTCAGTCTTATCTGAATGCTATGTGACGCAAACTTCTCTCTCGTGGCTAAGATTTCTACAATATATATAGGCATACTCTCACTCAATAAATTGAGCGAATGAATCGTTTATATCTTTCTTTCGGTCATTTTTATAAAAAATTCAAATAATACCATATACTTATGGATCATTTTTGAAGATGAATTATGTGAAACAAATCCTTGCTTCTCCCGTCTGAAGGACGGAAATTGAGTACCTCGCCTACTAGGGCATAACTCTGGGAAGTTCTAACTCTACTCTCTTCGTGATGGCGTTTCCCGGGACGCGTATACCTTTACTTTGAAACAGGCACAGGGATACACGTAATAAGCCTGAGGCCTCACGACATACCACTACGAGTCCGACCTTAATTGGCCAGTTGTACCTAGGCCTACATGTCATATTTTGACTTTGCAGCCCCAGGCACAGAGCTTGGAATTTGGCCTCCCGTAGTACCAACTTTATCCGCTTTGATCGGCGGTGGGTAACGCGTCTCGTGCTCAGCGTGTTCGACGTACCCATATCCAGACTACGATGTAGGGCAGTAGGAAATGGGGCACGTATTTAGGCCGTATGAGGGATGGCACAGATTCAGGGGTGAGCCACATATGACGAATACAGGCACGATTTAAGCTGAAGTATATTGACTGGCAAGATAGCTTAAGTAGTAGGTAGGTAGTAGTTAATTATAAAAATTGAAAAACATGATCTATGCGATAAATTTGATCGAATTTATTTAACGAGGCATTTTCCCTTTTTTTTTAAAAAATGTTATTCATTATGTAAAAGTGTAACGATAGACAGAGAGTGGTTGTCAAACTGCGTCGACTGTTGTGCCTCGACACAATGTATATCGTTAGTAGAAAATTAATATTCGGGTACATTGCTATATTTTATATAACGGTAACAAAACCGAATTAATATTGAGAAAATTCATAATAAATCCGGGTGCCAGGTAGGAGGACAATCAGGTTCTATCTACAAAAATAATAAAGTTATAATTAGAATAAATAACCTTGAACAATTCATTAAATACCGAACCAGCTAGCTTTCACAATCAAATGAAAGATCAAGCGTGAGACTTCGTGGGGCGTGTCACAACTGGTGATTACTCGAACTTCGCTCAAATAATTTGTTTCACGCATTCAGCATATTTAATTTACTTAAAGCGTAATTTACTGTCAACGCAACGCGTCCAAGGACTCGAAAGGAGTCCAAGTCACTCATACAGCACTCTGGAATGCCGTCCGCTGGCTAACAATTCCTTCAATCCTGAGATATGTCGGGATTCAACAATTATTAATTACTTTGCAATGTTACGGCTCTAATGGGTCATCGTATTCATAATAATAGTTATCAATAAATTTAATTCGCATCAGCCGCTAAATAACAGAATGTTTAAGCACGATCGAATCGCCAACGATCCATCGCAGACTCTTGCGCGCAGCTTGACGGATTAAGCAAATCAATAAATTGATAAAATAACATGTAAATCATCAATGTTACAGAGCACGCGATTAGTTCCTCTGTGAATTACCATAATACTGCCAGAGTGGCTCGAATAAGGAATATTCAAATATCAATCAAATAATTAGATTAATCCAACATCGATCAAACGACTACTCATGAGTCTAGTAAAATAATAATTCAGACGTATGGTACGACAAAGACTCGTTGCCGCCAAAATTCCTGACTACAGTGTTCCTTAATCAATCAATAAATTATACAATAAAAATTGCGTGACACACGCTCGCTATACGATAATAAAAGATCCACTAACAGAAATAAAGATACAGCTTACGAGTGACGTCCCACGTTGCACCCAGGGTCAGTAAATGGCTCCCTTTATAGAAGTCGTTGATCTGCTCCACCACCAACGGCTGGATATCCAGGTTTACTCAGTAGTTTCCCCAACGATTTCCTCCTGGCCACCAACGGCTTCTCCAACAGTGAGAATAAACCTACTGATACAATAGATCTTCTCTCAAACTTCACAGACGTTTGCTTTTGTATAATTAATTGTAAGACTTACAAAACGGTGATGTCTTTTCAGCACAACAAGAAATGCCAAGTGACGTCTTTTCAACTAGACAGGCAATCGCTGAGTGAAGCTTTTGGTAATCTATCGTTTTTCCATTGCTTCTTGATTAGGAGTAGGGCTAAAAGCTTAATTATAACCTTATCTATAATTATAAATTTTGAATCAACTATTGAATTCCCCGTCCGAAGAGGGACATTTTGTTTGAGTACCTCGCCTTATAGGGCATAACTCTGGGAATGGCTCTACTTCTAGTGACGGCGTTACTTGGGACGTAAAATTCTCACGCCTTTGGATTTCGGTTTCTCGTAGTACCAGTTTTATCCGCTTTGGTCGGCGGCATCAGTTGTTTATGGTGTGAGGGGAGCACCATTATATTGTCGACAGCTGAGAGAAAATGTTTAGTGTTGGGTGTTTCCTGGAATATGTAAAAGTTTTTATTATTAAAAATTGTTAAATAAGGTAAAATCAAAAATAAAATTCTTATCCGTGTGATCCACAGGTTACAGGTGTTCTGCGAAGGTTGCAGGCCTGCAACCTGTGCCTAGGTGCTCCGACAACACCCAAGTGTGGATCAATAAAGTTCACGAGCTATGTTTTACGGCGCTGGTAATGGACCTACTACTTCTACGGGACGGAGGATTTTGTGTTTTTCTCTTTTCTTTTACCCCCTCGCCGATTCTTCTGATTTTCTCGAACAATTTCTCTTCCACACACGCCTTGACAAATTGTTCGAGTGCCTTACATGTGTCCTTTGTTTGGACGAATTTTGACGCTATTTTAGGCCATGTTAGGCTGAGGTCAACGTTCGTTTCCGAACGTATGACCGATATGAGATCCCTACGTTTGTCTTTATATGCGGGATAGTGCAGCAGGAAGTGCTCCACTGTGTCGTCGTCTCCTCTATTACAATTAGGGCAGGTTGCGTCTATTTTGGTGGCATATTGTGCACGAAATAAGCCATGTCCTGTGAATATTAGCGTCATCAGGTTGTTCAGGCGTATCCAATTGTTTAAATGGACGGAAATCGGCTGACAACTTGTTAACAGCATGCGTTATAGCTGATGAACTGACGTCTTCAATTTTGCCTTCTCTACCAAAAAAACCGACGGCCTATGAAAAAAAATACTCCTGCAATTAAAGTTGTCGTGATCTTTGTCCGAATAAGCGCTGAAAAACCCATTCTGATCTTATCCGTTTCCGAGCATACCCAGTGTTAGCCTCATCCAGACTATTTTAAAGAAAACATATTCATTCAGTTATGAAACGTTTGCTAGTTTTGAAATGGTAACGTTTAGTGAATCACATAAAGTAATCAATGTTTTATTGACACAAACATTTAAATTTCTTCAAACAACTTACATTTAGGACGTATCAATGGTATAAAATATTAAGAAGATAATTGAATGCAACATTCTTTATGCATATTAGCGGTATGTTCTTTACACATTGAATTATCGCATCTCAAACACTTATAAAATGTTCTTAGATCTAATGAACTCGGATAATATTCACAAAGTTTATATTGTTCTAATTTGTTCTCAGCTATTAAGTCTCTTTAATCTCGGGTTCCATATAAATCCTTGAAATTTAAGATAGCTTCTATTTGTGAGCATAATAACGTTTGTAAAGTAGATAGTTAAAGTCTTATCACGAATCATTGCTTTTTTGCTACTTATCAAATATACATAAAGAAAAAATATACATAAACTTGGTATAGCTTTCCATACAAATAACACATTGGTTATCTCAGGGTAGCTTGGTTACCGCTTTTTCTTCTGCCTGATGTACTTGATCTTTGCTCGGACTCAATGCTCGATGATTTACTTTCAACAGCTTCTCCCAGCTCTTCTTCGCTTTTGTCTACATCAGCCTTCTTATGATGCTCTTCAAAAACTGATTCGGTATCGCTTTTATTCTCGTCATCGTTTGAAATATCAGCTACTTTATATGACGTTTCTACTTTAGACTCATGGCGAGTCCGAGAATGCATATTTATTTTTAGCCCGATAAAAAATAAATAAAACCTATAAATGAAAGAATAAAAAATAAGATATCAAAGTTTTTAATAAAAATACTATGGAAAATATTATATTCTGTACTTACAATGAAACCTTGCGAGGCGGTTACCGTCGATTTAGATAAAGCTTCTATATAATAATCCACATCGAAAATGATGAACTACGTATTTTTTTTTCTGCAGAAAAAAGTTTTGAACAGGTGAAAATCACCCCCAAACTTGACACCCTATAAAAGTGATTTTCAATTTTTACATATTTCTAATCAATGTTTTTCGAAGGGACCTTGTACGTTAAAAAAACCAAAAAAATACTGGAAAATAACTTTATTCATCGATGCCAAGAAAAAAATTCTTTTTTTTCAACTACTCTTTGTAACTGCGTGAATGAATACATTAAAAACTATTTTAAAAACCAAATCAGCATAAAATATTTATTGAATAATAAACTCATTCTGAACTATTAGGAGTTACAGGTTGGTACAGTGTCACTTTATGGGATCCAAATCGTATCATTGGTGATAGAAGGTCAAGAAAGACTCTGTTTAGCTCAGATAAGTAATACATTACTCAAGCAATTCAGCTACAATGAAATTCACAATAGACGAGTTGCTCTTGGAATCACATGCGTACAATGCACACCGGTACAACTCGAAATTCTTAGAAGAGCTGGAGCCATGCCTCCATCTTCGAGACGTTGCGGAATGATTACAAGACGTGAAGCTGAAAGACTTTGTAAATCATTTCTGAGTGATAACACGCCACCAAGGTATGTGTCTATTTTATTTTTGTAAATACCGATTGTCAGAAAATCTCGATATAACTCAAACATGATGAATATAATTTTTATCCCACCCTCTCCTTTTCTAAAAGTGCAAATTCCGTCTCGGTTATGAGGTCCGCAATAGACCAATCTCATCTGTGGGAGTCAGAAAAATCAGGCTGTCTTTTTCTGCGAAAGAGAGATAATCACTTTTCTAGCTATGAAACGGTAAAAAAACTTAAACTTTTGGGAACGCTCTGACAAAAAAAAAGTATACTCACCTCGGTAATGAAAAATAGCCATATCATACCACACGTTTGCCTTGTAGTAGAACATAACTCGATTCGTAACATGGTGTGCAATTAACGATAATATGTTTGTACAGAGAAACCTAAGTATTCAACCATCGAACAATAAATGAAGAAAACTTGTGGAATTTATTCAAGCTCTCAGTAATTTAAGTCATTTAAAAATAAAATTATGTTATTACGACTTGTTGCAGACTGGATTCTTGATAAGGATGAAAATTACCTCTGCTAGACTAAAGTATTACGATTATTCGAAGTTATTGCGCACTAAGATAGACGAAATACGAAAAGAACTATAAGACTCATTGAATTAAAAATAATCGTTAATGTTCATTGAATACCGACTCAATAATGTTATAAACATAAATATTGATAACCAAATATATCATCACGTACAGATTTTCCAATCAGTAAGAATGGAAATGAATATTTCGGGTCATCGAAAAGAGTGCAAGGTTGACATTGTAGATCACTGGACCCCAAATCGTCTTTTTATGATTATTTGTCCACAACAAGACGATTTGTTTGCTTGACGACCTGACGATCACACTCATCGCTCAAGACTCATTCCTCTGAAAAAATCTTGAGTGTGTGAGTGCAACTATCTTGAGTATTGTACAACGATTCACTATTGGGGTTGACCCGAAAAAAATCAGTCATTCATTCGTAGCTGTGTAAACAACCCAAAGAGTGATAAAAAGATAACTAGAATCAATATAATTCTTTTAGATAGGTACTTCTTTCTATACATATATGTTCAGTTAGTCTTAACGTTTTTGTTCTGTGAAACTTTTCACATCGGTGCATACAAATTGCGTATTGCATTATTGATGTGGTCTTAACATACACTTATTAAGAAACTTATTTATTTTTCTACTACAGAAACAGCACAACGTTGTTTGACTTTGCAACACACAGAAACCTAATAGTTGCTAGCGTCTTGGCTTGTAGAAAAATATATATTTCATAAAATGAGCCAAATTGGTACAGATAAATGGGTAGGAAAGAAATATTTCTTGGACTGCAGACGTCAGAGAAAAGATATTATTGTATAGAATTCAGTCGATCAGAATTGAGCAACCATGAAAAGTTTAGAAAGTTTGAACTCTGATTGCTTACATCAGTAAACTCATATAATCGGATTTTCTTAGGATACTGATATTTTTCAGGCTGAACTTTCAGACTCTTTGTAATCAGTATAAATAAAATTTAAATGTTTGTCTATAATTATTGGAAAACTGCCTCAAACTGAGGTCAGAGAGTGATTCGAATGCTGCTGAAACTTGAATGATCATTATTAGTACTTCTGGCTGTCTGTCTGCCATTAAAAGATGGTCTGTAAACTGGTTTCTAATTTTTTGTAAACCATAAAGATGATAAAAAACAATAATAAAATGACAACTGACGATCACTGAATTACACATTACGATTTCTAGTGATAGAGTTTTTTTTCAAAAATAGTCAACGAAGAAATATGTCTCTACTAAAAATATAAATCTGTTGTTGTTATGCACTCTTGAAATTGTTCTATTATTATCATCGTGAGCTTCGTATTTACATTGATGTTTTTGTTTTTCAGGACGTATCACGTTAACGCGGGGGTAGAATAAAGTTTGTCACGCCCCATTTCGCACTTCTTTATATAGCAGTTCTGATATCAAAACTGTAAAGTCAAAATATGACAGGTAGGACTACGTGCAATTGGCCAGTTGAGGTTGGATTTGTCGTCGTATGTTCAGGGTTCGGGCTAGTTACGTATAAGCTCGTGCCTGTTCCAAAATGCTGTCTATAAAAACTTTGGAAAACCTCATTGATTTACTTCTGGAATAAATTAGGCATGCTATTGTCTCTCCAAATAATGAATAATTGGCTACGGTCCTTTGTACAAAATTTAGAAAAATACAGACTTATTTCTTTTAAGTATGCGACTTTTTTTCATAAAGTCGGTACCAGTGTGAAATGGCTATAGTACAGGAAAAAATAAAGTTGGTAAATATAATATGCAGATTTTTGAGGTGTCAGTCATAAAATGAATACGATATCAAGATGTCATAATACTGACCATCATAAATAATAGTACAATATCATAGTGAATATCAATCCATAAATAAAAAATAAATATAATACTATGATCGAAATAATAAAACAATAAAATTAAAAGATTAATTGTTTGATGGTATGATAAATAAATGAAAATAACATCCGTCTTTTCTCACTCCCATATAATTAATTACTTTTTTATAAACAAATGCTTATGCCTCGGAAACGGTAAGATATAGAAACAAAATGGAGAAATTTTAAAAAAGGTCGTACTTTTTACCATCAACCCAATAATGCATCCATATCTAATAAATTGTCATTAACTATCAATTAAAAAAATTGAAAAATTATAATTACTGTTGAAACGTCACCAACAGATGATTTTTTGTACCCAGTTACTCGAAATATTATCAATACAATGTTCAAGACAAATAAGATTCCCAATTTCAAGAGATGTTCCACGACGATTTAATCTCAATTTTCATTTTTCAACAACAGACTAATGCATCAAGCCTAACGTATTCATTTAATCGAATAGGACATAGTTAGAAGTACTTTGTGGGGAAAGTCTAATGCTGTTCTTATAGCACACTCTTTTTTTTAGTTTTATTATTTTTTTGCCACATGGGTTTTCCAAAAGCAATAAAATTCCTATAAGATGTTTTCCTTAACTAATTTTTGAAATTTTTTCTATTTCAAAAAAATCTTAGAAAAGCTTAAAAAATAATAAGGTAATAATTGTTAACCTCAATTCTTAAATTTCATTACTATTCATCTTGAACTTCTCTTAAAATATATATTGAATAATTATGTAAAATAATTCAAGTTTATGCATAATTTGTTATATGAAATTATTTATCATCTGCTGGTTCACAATGATAAACCCTGTTATAACTATTCTACAATATTTTCTGAAGGTCTTTAGGTAGCTCTTAGGTGGCTTCTGTTTCTGTGCACGTTATATAGTTGGTGACTTTTCCTAGTAGAAACAAAGTTCCAAAGACTCTTTAGTACCTCAAATCAGCTGGATTGTTTTCTAAGACAGAAAGATTTATTATAGACTCTCTAGATGGTCTTTGTACAAATTTAAATGAGACGCTGTTCAACGTTGTATTGGTTTGGCCAAGATAAGCAACCCTAGCCTTCATTTACTGGCATAACGCCACCTTAATAGCAGACGAGAGACACGTGCAGTCCTATTTGGTCGACAAGAGTAAGTCAATCATTGGAAAAAAAGAAAAAACATTTTCGGAAATCTCCCGCTTTTTATTTCCCAATGTATCAAATACGACACGCCTGATATCATTCTTTTCGTTCATAACGTCAAGCTTGTACATTATATCAAATTTTTAGCTATAATAAAAAAAAATGTATGTACAACAGAAAAAAGTGAACATAAACGCTACAAAAACTCTATGAGAAATGGCTATCCAGGTAGGTCAGAGACCTAGGATCCCTGATATTTTCGACGAATCGCTTATTGCATAATAGTCAAGATAATATTTCTTTAATTTAACATCCTGTGAGTTTCATTCTCCCAAGTGTGATGATAATTCAGTCAATATGATTAAAAAAACAGCCTAATTGAAAGTCCGTTGAACATTAAACGATTTCATTCATAAGGTTATTTGTAGTGATGGCAGACATTAGCATAAATTTATAAAAATAATAGATTTTTTTGTATAAAATATCTTGAAAAAAACGCATCGGAGATCAAAACATGATGCGGATAATTTTTTGAGATTTTCAAGAGAAAAACAATGAGACTAGTCTCATTACTCTACGACTAATCGTTCACGGGATATTTAATTTTTATGTCAACAGTACCACTATTTTTTAAGCAATTACAAACAGTCATTATGGCAAATTCTATCAAATTTAAATGTTTTTTTTTTAATTTTAAAAAGTAATGAAAACGATTAGTCGTAGAGAGTTGAGATTAGTCTCATTGTTTTTCTCTTGAAAATTTCAAAAAATTATACGCATCATGTTTTGATCTCCGATGCGTTTTTTTCAAAATATTTTATACAAAAAAAGCTATCATTTTATAAACAAGAAAACATATTTTGCCATGTGGTCACAAATTTATACTAATGTCTACCGTCACTAAAAAAAACTTTATAAAGAAAATCGTTTAACGTTGATCAGATTTCATTTTTAAAGCATATGGACTGTATTAATGATGTATGCGATTTACGAATTTTATATCATTTTTTCATGTTACGATCATGTAGGTAAACGGTCATCATTTGATTTATTTCCCATTTAAACTGTCTGTGTTTCAATAGTTAGAAAGTCATATTCGATTGCATGAGATGTACGAAACCATCTTAAAGAAAAAATCTGATGCAGAGCTGGAAATTTTAAACATTGACTGAACTACTATGATATAATCATTTTGCTGTATCAAAGATACATTTCGTTTGTAAATTATTAGCATGACTATGATGGAATCTTTTTGATTTTGTTCCAGGTTACCTGAAGATTTTGCATTTTCCGTCTATCACGAATGTGCGTATGGTTGTAGAGGGGCTTTTCTACCATCACGATATAATAGCTCTCGTGCAAAATGCATCAAGTGCTCCTGTTGTGGACTTTTTTTCTCACCGAACAAATTTATATTCCACTCGCATCAATCAAGCTCTAATAATAAATTCGTTCAACCTGATGCAGCAAATTTTAATTCTTGGAGACGTCACATGAAACTTTTAGGAAATCCTCCGGACAACATTGTTCATGCTTGGGAGGACGTTAAAGCTATGTTTAATGGTGGAACGCGAAAACGATTACTCAGTCATAGTGGTCCACGTAATTCAATGGAAACAATTAAACAAATGAATTCGGTTTCACCTAGTGCAGTTACTCTAGATAGCAATACACAGCCCATTACCGCATCAACTACTCCAGTCAATTTGACGCGTGTATCATCATTCTCAGATATACCTCTATCGTTGCCACGCAATTTCGTAATGGACTACATGTGGCATCAACATCATCAAGCGACTGCAGTCGTTGCTGCTTCTAAAAATTCAGGATTTACTTTTGCACCTTACACGTTGCCCTGGTTTGCCAAACAAGGGACAGCTCTCTTTCCAGGTATACTTTTATTATTCATATATCATACCTAGAATATTAAAAATGAATTAAATGTTGAATAATTTTGAAATGTTGGTCCCCATATAAACGGTAAACAGAATAAGCTACGTTTAAACAGTTTGTAATTACTGTTTGTAAATAGTATATGACGAAAAATTCATTAGAAGCTCGAATCAGATATTTCCCCAACATTGTATTTTAATTCAAACTGAGCATCCAATAGAAACTACATGGTTCAATTAGGTACGAAAAATACGTATAATTTTATTTTTGCATTAATAATAACAATAATTCCTGTTAACAACTACGGAATTAGAAATAATAATAAAAACTTTTCGGGCTACATGCTTTTGTTGTTTTCTCATTTTTTACTAAAACATCTAACTTTTAAGTTCTAAAAATAGCTGAATTTTTGTCTATGCTACGCATTCGCAGTCCGAAAGCCGCCGTTTTTCTTTCACATCAAATATAAGGTTTAATTTCTGATTTTACATTACCTTGCCTTGATCAGCCTAGGGCTCTTTTCCCCATTTTCGTTGAAAATTTCTATCCCTTAAGTTATGGAGTAATAAATTTTCAGCAAAGAATTTTTATGACATTTACTTGTGCATTAGGGCCCCCGGGGTTGCATAGATGTTTCTGTCCTTAAGATATGTCGCGTAATAACGGGGGCAGATTATAGACCATAGTCCGTCGTGCCCCATTTTCGTACCGCCCTATATGGTAGTCTGGATATGGGTACATCGAACACGCTGAGCGCGAGACGCGTTACCCACCGCCGATCAAAGCGGATAAAGTTGGTACTACGGGAGGCCAAATTCCAAGCCCTGTGCCTGGGGCTGCAAAATCAAAATATGACATGTAGGCCTAGGTACAACTGGCCAATTGAGGTCGGACTCGTAGTGGTATGTTGTAAGGCCTCGGGCTTGTTACGTGTATCCCTGTGCCTGTTCTAGGTGCGGGAAATGCCATCGCTAAGAGAGTAGAGTTATAATTTCCCAGAGTTATGCCCAAAGAGGCGAAGTACTCAATTTCCGTTCTTCGGACGGGGGAAGCATGGTGGATTTACTTGTGCATTTTTGTCTAAAATTCAGGATGATTACTTAACAATTATTCAACAATCAATTAGTAGAAAAGATGCTTTATTTGTGAATGAGTATATTAGTCTCTCATTGCCAAAGACATCAAGTTAATCTATTGCAACATATAAGTGATATAACAATAAATTGTGATGTTATATTTTTATTAATGTCTCATTGTCAATTATAAGTAATATGCTATTGAATATTGGAGGCTAATAATAGCTCACTAGGGTTGTTCTACTTATTTTTCACCAATTGTTCTATATTTTTGAGCTCTCATGAAGAATATTGATGATTTTGCTTCGGGTCTTCGAGTCAGTTGTAGAGTAGAACTTGAAAAATTTGGTGTTCTACCCGAAATCAATCATGGTTGCATTTTCTGAGTTACTCAAGTTATGAGGAATTTGAGTAAATTACTTACATCCTTAGGATAGTTGTTGAAAACTCATAAATTTATCAAAAATCGGAGCCGTCATCGTAAAAGGCAGCATTTTCCGGGCTACCTGACAACCATCGCCACTTAAACGTCATGAAGCCAAAATTCTAGTGCAATAATGCCACTCCCAATAATCACGTACATGAACCGGTCGTGTCATTTAACACTCTCAGTTAATTTGGTAGAATAATCAACTTTCATCAGATTACGTTAGAAACTCACGGTATTGAAACTCAGGAGAACGATTGTAAAAAAGTGTTAGTTCTATTTGCAACTCTCAAACCTCTAAACATTACTCGAAGTCATTCTATGCCGGTTGATCGTAAGGACCACGTGCATCAAACATTGAAGTTAGTGTTGGTGGACACTGTGCAATTACTCACACACTGAAAAAAACTTCTGGAGTGCCCACAAATACTCATCAATTGAGAACATTGCATTGTGTGCTATCTGAAATTATATAAACTTCAATTATCGAGACACTTATAACAGAAATTCATAACACTCAGATACTTAATTAAATTCTGATCAACCTGCAGTTCTCATGTAATATCCAAATGGTTTGTGTATAAAATTTGCGACAAAATTTTGCAAACATGTAGAGGGCATTGTAGGAAAGGTTATAGGCTACTTTTGGTTAATATAAATTGTTTATAACAATTGAATTAGTTATAAAAAATCAAAAACGGGATTAAACCGATTTATTCGAGTACTTTCAATGAAAAAATTTTTTCTCAAATAAGCTCATATATATTCAATTAATCCTTGCTCTCGCATATCTTTGACTCATTTTAGAATTTTTTTTATCTGTCCAGGTGAATAACGATGTTGTTTTACATATACTATGTCTCTCATCTGTAGTTTTTAGTAAATAATTACAAAGGTAAGATAGTGATAAAGGATCTTCTGGTAAGCTGTATACATCCCGCAGAGGATCCATTATTTATATATCTCATCTTCAACCTTTTTATAATCAATGTAATGAAAATTTGTTCTTTTCCACAATGATATATTCCTAGCTGTGGACTAGTTACTTGTCTTTTTTTTTTCTATTTTTAGTATTATCAATTTTTTTTTTCTATTAAAAATTATTGACCGTTCTTTTGCGAAAATAATCGCATCTTCTTTTTGAAGACATAAATGTTCTGCAATACGGTCGTTTTTTTCAAGAAAATCGTTTGAAACTACTCAGAAAATGTGTTTGATATTATCTACAGTGATTGTACATGTTTTTATACAGATTACAAATCCACTGTTATCAATTCCAGCCAATTGGGCCGAAGTTTTCCCAACTGGTCGTCCTTAAGTGCATTTCGTAGTGTCTGCAAAGAGCGGATAATATCGCTGTCTGAGTTTACTGTCGAATCTGATCAGAAAACTTGCTTCTGAGTTTCTTGACATTCGGTATACTTGATGGAATAGGTACGGTCAGTTGCCCACGCAACGGAAAATTAATATTTGCACGTTTCTGTGGACACTCTGAAATGAAGTTTTCCAAACGTCCGAATCCGTGATCGAAAAACGATTTTTTGATTCGTATTAAATTCTTTTGTGCTCCGGTGTTAATACTTTTTGAGTTTTTATTTTTTCAGTAAGGAATTTTTGTAATGAGTACAATTTTTCAAATTGGAAACTTGAACATATGTCCACGTTTCGAGGTCTTTAGAGTCTAGTAGGATAGATTTTAACAGGATGCTCGTGTGTACGTATGTATGTACGTATTGTAAAATATATGAATGTCTTCATCTATGAATTGATTGACTAACGACAGTTTGTTAGTTGACAACGATTGCTTGATGATAAGATTGTTTAAAGCTACGAGGGAATAATTTGTTTATCTCCAGTTTGGAACTGAGACTAGCTGACTTTAGACGTTATATCTTTGATTCTGTATTTGAATCTGTCATTTTAATGTTTTTTCTTTTAAATATTGCTTATCATTATCCTTTTATTTTACATTATTATTATTATTTTTCGATTGGTCAGAGAATGTCTGGCTGAGGATCCCAGGGCTTCAACCCACTTGAGGTCTGACCAGACGGAATTATACTGCAGACACCCGGCTCTTTTGGGTTTGAGAGTAAGCTAGGGCTGCAACCTTTCAGCCGTTAGTTCAAACGTCTTGATCTCTTTAGTCATTGAGTTGCTCTGGCATAACATCACGCCAATAGGCAAAGGTGGGAAATACACTGAGTATACTGCACCTGTGATGCGAGCGCCGCCTGAATTAGCTGTAGAAAATTCTATTATTATGTATTAAACCTCAATAAGATTCTGCATTATTCAATAGGTTTAACTTCTTTTGCATCTAGTAGTAAATTCCCTTTTTTTTTTGTTCAAAGCATTGTATTAATTAAAAACCGAAATTCTAGTGGGGAATACCATGATAAAAAAATATTTGTTAAGTCACATTTCCTTTTCCAATTTATTCATTCCCTTACAGAAACTTGGAAAAAACTATCAAATCGTATTGAAAAATATTACCACTAAAAATACTGAAAATATTTTCTGTGTAATACTATTTTGATAAATCATCTTCCTTCTTATAAAAGAATCTACAAGTAAGCTATAGTGAAAAACAGAATCCTATCAAAACATATTATTACAAGACGATATTTTACAAGTTGTTTTTTCATTTTTAGTGTATTTATTTTAGTGTATGTATAATAACTTGAGAAAATTACACTTATAAACAATTTCTGGTTTTTTTTTAAGAAAAAATTCATGTATCTGAAAGATTTCCTTTAATAGAATAATTTGTATGGAATAACAAAAATAAAGGACTTATTACCGTTATTCATTATTCCCTTTATAAAGAAGAAAAAATGTGTGTCATAGCATGTCGTAGTGCATATATGAAAACATGTTGGCTAAAGAACGAATTTACGAGTGTAAATAGTAATTAGAAATTTTCAAATCAATAAAACTCATGAATAAATAAAAAAAAAAGAAAAAGAATTGTTTCATAATCTTGATTGTTCTTTCAAGTATAATTGCTTTTCTCTTTTACAATATGATATAGAGATCAATGGAAATCATAAAAACGACTTTTTTAGATCTAAAAATATCATTAAAAAATTAAATTAATAAGTTATTCTTTTGGAAAAGTTGTTCAATAAATTTTTGACAGCAAATATAAATGTAAATTTCATAAAAAAATTAACTTTCTCTAGTTCCATAAAAGATGGAGTTGATTTTTTCAATTTGATAAAAGGTTATCTTTGTAGAGAATTGAATTCCCTACAAACTCATTTTTTTGTCCAACAACGTAATTGTCGTATGAGACCGAAAAAAATAGTCATGTTATTTGGCACAGTCTTATATGTATATAATTCATGACGGTTTTCATGAAACTATCTATTTCCACAGCCCACTTTCAAGTACTTAATCCTTTTATAACCAATTAGTATTTTTTGATTCATTGAACTCGATCAAGATTTTACCTCTTCACTGACCAAGTGTAAATGAATAAATATAAAATC